AGGCAGCAGCTCTACCAGTTGCACCACCGTGCTGCCCAAGTACAAACAAGTATTGCAAATCCCAGTAGTGTAAATCTATAAAGGGCATGGCAGAGGCAGACAGATATGGAAACATCAAAAGAAAAATTGATTTAAAAAACAAACGATAAAATAAAAAATAAACTACAACAAGGGGGCATATATTTTAGGATTAGGATTAGCATGCTTTACTGCATGGGTGTCAAACTCACTTACAAAAAGGGCCAAAATTAAAACCTTTTTCAATCTAAGGGTCGGTTTCAGAATCAACATGAACTCAAGTTAGAAACCAACATCTGTTCTTGGTAGCAGGTTCCTCAGCAAAATCTAAAAAAGTTAAATCTGGTCCTCTGGACATTCAAAATAACAAAACAAAGCAAATCAACAAAAAATTGTAGAAACATTTCGTCTCTCATCCTGAGGACTTCCTCAGTCTGAGGTGCTGTATTCAGCTCAGTCTCTTAAATAGCACCTTCTCAGAGTGGATCAACCAGTTTTGCTGCTGACAACCAGAACCAGCTGCTCACATGCTCAAGAAGGACCATCAGCCTAACAATGGATCATTAGCACCTGATGGCTGTTTACTACTCACAGAGGGCTGAGTGATACTAGCAATCACAGCATTGTAAGAGGGGGACAGTTGAACCTGGAGGCTCCGCCCCTGTTTAATGATGGACGGTTTCTTTTCACAAAGATGGCCTCCTTTACTCCTCTCTCAAACCATCGTTCCTCTCTGTCCAGGATGTGAACATCTTCATCCCTGAAAGAGTGACCTCTGTCCTGGAGATGAGTGTAGACCTCAGAGTCCTGGCCTGATGATGTTGATCTTCTGTGCTGGTCCATCCTTTTGGCCAGTGGCTGTTTAGTTTCCCCGATGTAAGACTGATCACCCTCCTGACACTGAACAACATACACAACATTGCTCTGTTTGTGCCGGGGGACTGGATCTTTGGGATGAACCAGTCTTTAATGTATTTTGTGGTTTAAAAGCCACTGGGACGTTATGTTTAGAAAATAAACGTCTCAGTTTCTCTGATACCCCCTCAACATATGGAATGACCACTGGTCTGGGTCTGGGTTCCTCCTTTTCACCTGATGGCTGACTGGAGTCCTGTTTGGGTTTCTTCTCTGCTTTCAGGAAGGCCCAGTTAGGATATCCACATTGCTCTAGAGCCTGTCTTGTGTGGGATTTCTCCTTCTGCCTGGCTCCTGAGCTAGTGGGGACGCTGTCTGCTCTGTGGTACAGAGTCCTGATGACTCCTAACTTGTGCTCCAAAGGGTGATGGGAGTCAAATTGCAAATACTGGTTTGTGTGGGTGGGTTTGCGGTACACCTCAGTTTGCAAATGTCCTCTATCAGAGACTGAGACCTCACAGTCCAAGAAAGCCAACCTGCCATATTTTACATCTTCTCGTGTGAACTTGATGTATTTATCCACAGAGTTGATGTGGTCAGTAAAATGTTGGACTTCCTGAGATTTAATTTTAACCCAGGTGTCGTCAACATACCTGAACCAATGACTTGGTGGTGTCCCTGAAAAGGACGTCAAGGCTCTCTTTTCTACCTCCTCCATGTACAGGTTGGCAACAATAGGAGAAACTGGAGACCCCATAGCACACCCATGTTTCTGCCTATAATATTGCTCCCCATATGTGAAGTAGGTTGACTGCAGGCACATTCAACCTACTAGGTTGCCAGAGTCACGCCCTGATCCAAGAACCCTCTCTGATCACTGATTTTTCAGAAACAGATCCTGTCTAACTCTGAATGTTAGGAAACACCTTGTATCTGTGACTTCCCTCCATTGATCACGGTGACATTATTTACATGAACGCTCCTACAAGAACCCTGCAGATGTTGGATGCTGCAGATGTTGGATGCTGCAGATGTTGGATGCTGCAGATGTTGGATGCTGTCTATCATGGTGCACTAAGATTCATAACTGGCTGTAACTACCGTACCCACCACTGCACCCAGTATCCACTGGTTAACTGGTCACCATTAACTTCACACAGACTCTCCCACTGGTACATTTTCATCTTTAAATCACTTCCTGGTCTGCTGCCTTCATACATCTCCTCCTACATGTCTCTGTGTGAGTGCAGCTACAGCGTGCGCTCTCAGGACATCATTACCTGCAGTGTTCCCTCAGTGAGGACTGAACTAGACAAAAGGACCTTCTCCTACTCCGCTCCTGTTTCCTGGAATATCTTGTAAAAAGATCTGAAGCTCTCGACCTTTGACCTCTCTAAGTGGCTTCAAACATCTGATAAGTTCCTGCAGATGTTCCCGTTTTTAGTTTTCTACACCGTTTTATAATCTAGCTGTTTTTTTTTACTAATATTCCTCTTGATTGTCCTTCTGGTTGCTATTTTGTTTTGATTTGTAAAAAAAAAAAAAAAAGAGAAAACTTTAATCTGTATGCATATTTTATAACCGTCCATTGCTGTTGTCCATTGTTGTCATCTTTCTTTGTTAAATCAGGTCTCTCTTGTAAATGAGTCCTCGAGGCTCAATGGGATTTACCTGTAGAAATAAAGGTTGATCAGTCTGCTGAAAAAAAATTAAATTTAAAAACAATATATTTTTTTAAAAAACTAGTCAAAATTAAATCACTATTAGTGAGGTGTACTATGGAGCACCTGTGAGCCTTTATCCTGACTCCAGATGCCAAAGTTGTGGTCCTCACACCAGAGTTTAAAACACTCCACATCATAAAAGTGAAAACACCCAAGTAAAGTAACTCCCCCCACACTAATTCATGAACATCGTCAAACTACCATCAGAAATCCAGCCTTGCAACAACACACTCCCCGTTAAGAAGGGAGGAGAGGCTCTGGGCACTCCCCACACCTGGCAGCTGGAAAACTCCCTCCTGGTCCTCACTTAAAGAAACTGATCCAGATGACACAATTTAACCTATTTTGTTTTTATCAAGTCTGGTGTGAAACATGACGGATACCTTCTGCACTCCGCTCCCTTCATCCATTTCCAGGGAGCGGTGTGCGTTCATCTTTTTGGAAGCAGGTGGTTTAGATGGAGTTGAGCTTGGTGTAATGGGAAACGGAGGAAGCTCAGAGTCCAACAGCCATAACAGGTTGTTCTGTCAAACATTAGTCATGCATCAAAAAAACAAAACAAAGAAAAACAACAAAAAAATGTAGAAACGTTTCGTCTTTCTTCCGAAAGACTCACTCAGTCTGAGGTGCTGTATTCAGCTCAGTCAGAGGTCACTCTTTCAGGGATGAAGATGTTCACATCCTGGACAGAGAGGAACGATGGTTTGAGAGAGGAGTAAAGGAGGCCATCTTTGTGAAAAGAAACCGTCCATCATTAAACAGGGGTGGAGCCTCCAGGTTCAACTGTCCCCCTCTTACAATGCTGTGATTGCTAGTATCACTCAGCCCTCTGTGAACAGTAAACAGCCATCAGGTGCTAATGATCCATTGTTAGGCTGATGGTCCTTCTTGAGCATGTGATCAGCTGGTTCTGGTTGTCAGCAGCAAACTGGTTGATCCACTCTGAGAAGGTGCTATTTAAGAGACTGAGCTGAATACAGCACCTCAGACTGAGGAAGTCCTCAGGATGAAAGATGAAACATTTCTAAATTTTTTTGTTGTTTTACTTTGTTTAGTTTTTTGAATGTCCAGAGGACCAGATTTAACTTTTTTAGATTTTTCTACCTGGATTATTGAGCAGTATCAGGATATTAGTCATGCAAGTTGTGCCTAAGAGGGTTCTCCTTTGCTCCAGGTGAATCCATAAAGTTGGTATGCTGCGCTAGCTTAGAGCTCTTAGCTCAGGTTTGAATCTCGGCAAGCGTCGTTAAATTACAACAGAATCTGCCTTATAAGGTCGTTGTTAGTTAAACACAATGTGCTCGCCACTATCAAGTTACCCCCATTATATCGAGGTCTAGGTCGTATGTTTCACTAAACTATAGGATCTTTGGTACTCAGCCCCTGTACAGACGCTCACACTGCCATCTTGGCCCACAGGAAGTAGAGCCTCTTTCAGAAGAAACAAACAGGAAGTAGAGCCTCTTTCAGAAGAACAAACAGGATATGGAGCCTCTTTCAGAAGAATCAAACAGGAAGTGGAGCCTCTTTCAGAAGAAACAAACAGGAAGTGGAGCCTCTTTCAGAAGAAACAAACAGGAAGTAGAGCCTCTTTCAGAACAAACAAACAGGAAGTGGAGCCTCTTTCAGAACAAACAAACAGGAAGTGGAGCCTCTTTCAGAAGAAACAAACAGGACGTAGAGCCTCTTTCAGAAGAATCAAACAGGAAGTAGAGCCTCTTTCAGAAGAAACAAACAGGAAGTGGAGCCTCTTTCAGAAGAATCAAACAGGAAGTAGAGCCTCTTTCAGAAGAAACAAACAGGAAGTAGAACTTCTTTCAGAAGAACAAACAGGATATGGAGCCTCTTTCAGAAGAATCAAACAGGAAGTAGAGCCTCTTTCAGAAGAAACAAACAGGAAGTGGAGCCTCTTTCAGAAGAATCAAACAGGAAGTGGAGCCTCTTTCAGGAGAAACAAACAGGAAGTGGAGCCTCTTTCAGAAGAAACAAACAGGAAGTGCAGCCTCTTTCAGAAGAATCAAACAGGAAGTGGAGCCTCTTTCAGAAGAATCAAACAGGAAGGGAGCCTCTTTCAGGAAAAGCAAACAGGAAGTCTCCTGTTTTCAGTTTAGGAAAAACTCATAATTATGGAAACATTTATGACAAGTCGAATCAGCATCACAAAATAGATTGAAATCAACTCAACATCTATAAACAAAAAAGATTAAAAACTACAGGAGCAGACAGAGTTTTACCTGTGTTCTATATAAAACAGCTTTCTGCTCACCTGTGATATTTTCTCATGGTAACAGCTGTTGTTTTGCAGGTGTGGTGGTCCTAAGGAAGTGGATCGCAGGAGGTGTGTGTTGTTCTTCGGTCCGTTTGGATGGAAAGACGATTCTGGTCACTGGAGCAAATACTGGCATCGGTAAAGAGACCTGCAGAGACCTGGCAGGCAGAGGTGAGACACTCCAACTCACCTGTGTTATGCTAACGGGTGTACCCAGAATGAAAGGACTGAGATGAACACGTACCAGGACTCAATAGCAGTTTACAGTGTTTATTTATAATGTGGAGCAAAAGGGAAACGTCAGGGAGGGGAGCTGGATCAGCTGGAGGACAGAGGGGAGAGTTAGGAGGTCTGGCTGTAGGAGGTTGAAATGTGGTAGGCGGAGAGCAGCTGAGGAGGCGCAGGAGTATAAGGAACTTATAGAGGACTCAAGGCAGAACAGGTGGAGGACAGGGTCAACTCTGAGGAGGTGGACAAAAACATCCGGTTAACACTCTTAGATCACTCGTAGAATAACTGGCTAGAACAATTCTACCGTTGGTAGTGAATGCCCCAGCGCCTGCTGAATGGTCTCTAGCTTCTTATACTCCTCCTGCATGTAGTGCTGATGATCTGCAGCTGAGTGGAGGGAGGAAGAAGGCAGGACAGAACTCCTACAACCTGAATGTAGCAGGTTTTTTTTCAGAATTTGACCTGATGGCTCACCATGGAAACGCTGAACTGTTTGTCAGGTGTATTGGTTTTGTTGACCAGGAGCCCGGGTGGTGATGGCGTGCAGGGACCTGTCGAGAGCAGAGTGCGCCGCTGAGGAGGTCCGACGTTCAACAGGAAATGGTAACGTGGTAATCAGACACCTGGACCTCGCCTCCATTTATTCCGTTACTCAGTTCGCCAAGGACTTCCTGGACAGTGAAGACAGACTGGACATCCTGATCAACAATGCAGGTGAGTTCACCTGTAAACCTCAGTAACTGCATGTCTCTTGGTTTAATAATGTGTCTCAGGTCAGCTCACTTATAAACATCTGTAACTACCTGTCTCCAGGTGTGATGATGTGTCCCAGGTGGATAACAGAAGATGGGTTTGAGACCCAGATGGCTGTCAATCATCTGGGTCACTTTCTGTTGACCAATCTACTGCTGCCAATGCTAAAAAGCTCTGCCCCCAGCCGTATCATCAATGTTTCATCCATTGCTCACCAGGGAGGTATGACCTCTGACCCCACATGCTTTGATGGTTCTGATCTCTGAGGTCTTTTTCTGGTTTTAGGTCGTATCGACTTTGATGACTTGTTCTTCAGTAAAAAACCATACAGCGCTTTGGAGAGCTACAGACAGAGCAAACTGGCCAATGTTCTGTTCACCCGAGAACTGGCACAGAGACTCAGAGGTACCTAAGGGAACTGAAACCTGGATCCCTCAGGATCCCCACAGACACCAGCAACCCTCAACATCCACAAACAGACCAACAACCATCAGAGTCCTTACATATACTAGGAACCAGTGGCGGCTGGTGGAGTTTTCTCCATGGGGGGCTATAACTCCAAAATAGACATATACCAAAACATATACTAAGGTATCACACCAGTGTATTTACATGAATGAAACAACAAAAGCAACATTATAATGTCACGTAGTGTTCTACTTTTTGCATCGCAGTGCTTTATCCATGTGGATCCCAGATTATTCATGCTTCTTTGCCTTTTCTAAAAATGCTTTAAATCAGTCATACCTGTCTTAATCCATGCTGGGTCAGATCCTGATGTTTGAAAAAGGAGGCAGGGAAAGCAGAATAAAGCATTAGCCTCGCTACATGCAGTTAGCCAAGCCTTGTTGCTAAACCAGGTCCTGAAAAAAATCTGAGTGTACTGTCTCCCTCTGTCTTTGGACTGCTGATTAATTTTGATGTCCAGCTGATCAGGTCTGAGCTCTTTCACCTCTAGCTTCTCCTGATATGTTCTTCTCTCAAAATGTATTGTTTTAAGTGACTTCAATTAATTATTTAATTTCTCTTGCTCATTTCGCATCTCTGTCTGATCGTCTCAAGCTGCATTCAGCTCTGGGCGCAGGAGAGGTGCGCCCCAGAACGGTCCTATCTCTTGTATTGAAGAGGAGCTACTGTGCATGTACAACTTTTAACGAGAGTCTATTGTAAAAGATTTTTGTGCCCCAGGGTGGAAATATATCACCAATCAGACAACGTCGATGAACGAAACAACTTTACTCATCATTAACTATAAAATATTTACCTTACACAACTAAAAAATATATACATATATTTCAAAATATTTTTATTTTATTATTTCATTTTTATTTTATTTTTTAAGTCTTATTCAACGTAATGTGGTGAGTGGTAGGGCATCACCCTTGCACCCTCTATTGGCCAGCCGCCACTACTAGGAACCCTTAGAGTCCTCACAGACACCAGCAATTCTCAGAATCCCCACAGATGCCAGAAACCCTTAGAGATCTCGCATACACCTAGAACCATCCAAGTCCTCACTGACACCAAGAACCCTTAGAGATCACACTGACACCAGGAGTGTGTGCACAGTTCAGCTTTCAGCACCTGAAAGCTGAATTTTGATTGGCTCCTGACTCTGTCTGTCCTCACCTGTCCTCCAGGTTCTGGTGTGTCTACCTTTTGTCTCCATCCGGGTGTGATCCGGACCGAACTTATTCGCCATGTAGCGGGTTTGTTTCCCCTGATTGGGGGGCTACTGAGGCTCCCGGGCCTGCTGCTCATGAAGACCCCGTGGCAGGGCTGCCAGACAACAGTGTTCTGCGCAGTGACGCCAGGCCTGGAGGACCGGTCCGGCTGCTATTTCAGGTAGGAAGCAGGGTTAAAACCCACCTGTAGGACAGGTAATGATGTCACACTGCTGGAATGGGTTTTCAGGAGAACTAAAGGAGGTAAATCTGAACCTTTTCCATAGTGACTGTAGAGAGAAGGGGGCGGCACCGGAGGGGCAGGACGACGAGGCGGCAAAGAGGCTGTGGGAGGAAAGCACCAGATTGGTTGGTCTGAAGGACATGTACTGACCTCTGACCAGTACCTCTGACCCCTTCAGAAAAGAGAAAAGAATGTTTTGCTAGTTTGTGCTTTTATTTTGAAGGTTTCCTTCTAAAACCCGGCAGAGCTGAGCCAGTTCACTTGAGAGTCCATGCGGTCCAGGTGGTCTATATGGTCCAAACAGTCCAACTGGTTTATATGGTCCAGATGATCTGTGTGGTCCAACTTGTCCAGCTGGTATGTGGTCCAGATGGTCTATGGTCTCTTACACAGTGACTGCTGTTTATGAGCACCAGTGAACCCAGCAACCCAGTAAGGAAAAAGCAGGAAAGATAATGGATAGATGGATGATGGATGGATGGATGGATGGATGGATGGATGGATGGATGGATGGATGGATGGATGGATGGATGGATGGATGGATGGATGGATGGATGGATGGATG